TCGGAGTACTTTTCAGTAAAATACACTCCCAGCCGAGAATCTTTCCAGCCTTTCTCATCCTTGCTTCTCTTCTCCAGGCTGAGCAGAATGCCACAGTTCTCTGCTATTTTGCTCTGGGTAGGCAGGTGGCATTTCCCACTCCACAGAGCTTCTTTTCTCTAGCATGTTTCTTTAGGAACTATGCAGGAGATGAGTGCCTCCACTTCTCAGTAGAACCACCTGAGATGAAAATGCGTATTTAAAGGAGAGTGGAGAGTATACAAAATTCTTCTGTTCTGATATTTAACTAGTTATACAGTATTCAGTGGCACAGTCAAACTAGTTTGCATACCTGTAATATAATATTTTTTGAACACAGGCTAGACTGTCTTTCTTGACGATCTGCTAATCCTTGGTGGCTGTATCAATGAAGCTGTTGTCATAGGATCTGCAAGGAATATGTTGAACTTTCTGTCATTTTGTGCTGGTTTTGGTTGGGGTACAGTTAATTTTCCTCAGAGTACCTCATGTGAGGCTATGTTTTGAATTTGTGCTGAGAAGAATGTTAATAATACACTGATGATTTTAATATGAGGCTATGTTTTGAACTTGTGATGAGAAGAATATGGACAATATACTAATATTTTTAGTTATTGCTAAGCAATGTTTATATTAAGCCAATAACTTTCTCAGTTTCTCATACTGCACCTGTATTCCCAGCTTCTTCTCTACAAAAGGCTGGGAGGAAACATAGCCAGGATGGCTGACCCAAACTGACCAAAGTAACATTTCATTCCTTAAAATATCATGCTCAGTATGAAAGTTGTGGAGAGTTGACTGGGGGCGCCTGGCTCTTGGAGCTTTCATGTTTCTAGGGCTCTGGCTCTGACTCTTACTGATTCACGACTGGCTGGGCATCAGTCAGCGGGTGGTGAGCAGTTGTATAATTTGTTGGGATTTTTTTTCATTATTTTTATTACATGGTAATAGTAATAGCAGTATTATTGGTATTGTTATTGTTAGTATCATTTTTTCATTTAATTTATTTTCAGTTATTAAACCGGTTTTATTTCAACCCATATGTATTTTTTACCTTTTCCTTCCCCATCCCACTGGGGGAAGAGGAGGTGAGCAAGCGGGTGCGTGGTACTTAGTTGCTCGCTGGTGTTAAACCACAACACGTTTAGACCATTCTGTCCTATTCAAATAACTGACAGCAAATCCTCACAGCTCAGTTTAGCCTTTCACTGAAAGAAAACACCAATGCTTGTGCAGGTTGAAAATATACTGCAGTCAGCAGAGGGCAACAAGTGGGGGGAAGAAAGCTGACATTTTTAAAATACTGTCTTGTCAGAGACTTTTTTTTACACAAACTCATTTTTGGTATACAGTCATGGAATAAGTTTGTGGGATACTTAATTATTATGGTAGTACGTAAACACGCTAATTAAGATACTGTTGTGCTATGTGCTGTACAAAGAACAGAAAATGGTCTATGCGGCAAAAACCAGATGAGGTCAAAAGGGAAAACACACAAGCTAAAATGAGAAATCTAAACTAACAAATTATGTTGCATTTCTATGCTTATAAATTGTTATTTTTTCCACCTTTCAGGTGCCTTTTGCCTCAGTAGATTAGAATTCAAAGGAATTCAGAGCTACTTTCTGTACACTGGCTTTCCTGCATACTGCTACTCCCTGAGTAGCAAGGGGCATAGTCTTTTATATTTCTCTGAAGAATAGCAGGTACTGGAGTTCATCTAAATTCCATCTGTGTTAAGCCAGTGTGATCTGGAAGGCTTAGTACTGAGCTGGGAATTAGTAGTCAAGTTTCTTATTCTGTGTCTGATTTACTGTATGGCCTTTAGCAACTTCTGTTCTGCACTTCACTTTTCTTGCATCAAAGATGATAATATTTTCTTAGCTCTCTGGGGTATCATGAGGTTTCACTTGCTCATACTGATAAAAAGCTTTGAATACAACATGCAAAATGCTATGAATTGCTTTCCGATATAGATTGCTGCCGATGAGACTGGCCTCACATTTGTTAACTTAATGAATTTGTTTTGCCTGAAATAATGTGTATGTTCAGGTGCTTTTCCCAGGTAGCTCAGCACAAGAATGAGAATAGGTCCTGTCAAAGAGTGTGCTTAAACCTTGCACCTTTGAGCGCTGACATCCTTGGCTGAAAATGATGCACTTCTCTGAACCGGGTAGAACATAGGACTGTTGAAACTATAGCATGAAAACAAAGTAGCCAAACTCTGAATATTTAAAATATTTTATGTAACTTTTGCCTATTGATAAAAGAAATAAAAAGTACAGAAAAACATTGCCACAATATAAACTTTTGCCTAAGTACAAGACAGGACCATACTTTCCATATGAATTGCACTCAAGACAAAGAACATACAAAATGTAAGTAAAAACCAAATCTTCAAATTTTTGCTGTTAAGTGTTGAAATTATTGAAAGTGAAATGGTGTTGGCAATTTTTTTTCCCCCAGCATTGCATTTCCAACTGTGAACAACATTCCAGAGGGGCAGCAATGTATTATCTTCCCTGTTAGGTGCTGTCTCTGCATAGTCAGACTATAAATTGTAACTGTAGTAGTCCCATGCACCAAGTGACAATGGTGAAGATCTGGACAGTTATGTTGCAATTGTCATGCAATGCTATAGAAATAAATACTTTAGTAGGTAACTTGAATTACTCAAATGGGAAGAAATGGAAATTAATATGATGTTTCCTTTAAGCATTTGGGTTATAAGCATTGCCTTTCAGATATCTGAGGCCACAGCTAAGAGAACCTGAAATTCTGTATTCAGGAAGAAAACAATAGAAGAAATGGGTACTGTGGGAGATTTTCTCCAAAACCAGTACAAGAACAGTGGAGAGCTTTGCAGAGGGGTTTTCACTTGCATTAACAAGAGCATAATAGATATATAGCAATGATTAAATACATACAAGCTGGAGAATCTGGAACCATGTCTGCAGCACACTAAAAGATATGAAGAACATCTACTTTGGTACAACAGGTTGGAAGCCTGTATCCTAAAAAAGTAGTTGATAAAATCACCTTCTTTTAGAGAAACTGAAGGCCACCTAGCCTCTCCATCTCTCTTTGTCCTAAACTACTCCTAAATGTCCAAACATAGCCCTCATGAATTGCTCCAACCTCAGCTCCTGCTAAAGCTGTAGTAAGGTCTTGAGTGAGTGTTCCACTGATTTTGATCACTGCACTCTGACCACAAAGACATGACCCAGTCTGAAGCATCCAGCGAAGAGAAACAAGGATGGTTGCAGAGGCTCTAAAAAATGTCTGGGAGTAAAAGATAAAGAGTTCTGAAGTTGCACAGTCTAAAAAGAAAACTGAGGAAAGATGTGACCACAATCTTTACGTATGTGAAGCATTGCCACAGGGAAATACTTCGTTCCTGCCTGAGTGCAGGGACAAAAAAAAAAAAAAAAAAAGATATAAATACCAAAAGAAAAGTAAATTAGACATTAGAAGATTTTTTTTTTTTTGGTAGAGAATATAGTTAAACAGTGCAACACATTTAATAGAGGCATGCTATCTTCAAATGTAATAGATTTTAAAATGTAAACTTGCCGAAAATGGCTTAGTGGTAGTCTTGCTGTAGTTGTGTTTGCCTAAGGACTTAAGACAAGATCTGTGGAATGAAGTAATATATTTTATTAGATCAACTAATGCAGCTGGATGATGGATGCAGGCTTTCAGGCACACCATTCTTCTTAGGATCTAAAGAAGTATGTGATCTCAAGAGCATATGTGCCTTAAAGTCTGTGTATTTTTTTCCCAGCTGTTTTAGCCAGTTTAATAAGAGAATGGTTTAACTCTAGCTGATTCCATTTTAGATTTGGACAACCTCTTGAGGACCCTTATAACTCTGTTCTTTAGCATTCTGTGACCTGTTTATTATATCTGAATTAAGCATAGTGCTATATCCAGTCAGATTAAGGAGACTTTGAATCTTCATCCAGATTTGCATGATGTATGAATTAGTGTTTACAGGAAAAGAACCTTTGATGTACAGTGAGTTGTACTGTTTTCTAACAAGAAGTATTGTGGTATTTATGGAAAATGTTGTGCATCAGTTTTTAGAGACTTTTTAGGTGGCTGAATCAAAAACATTCAAAAGCAATTGATTGCTACAATCTCTCAGGGTTTTATGTTCGCAGTTATTAAAACACTTCTTTTTAGGCTAGTTTCTCAGACTCATTTTTGGCATTTTTAATGTATTAGCCTATGAATTTAGAGCAACCATGTTAAAGGACTGATTTGCCTCATTTCTAAAAGCCTTTCAAATTGAGAAAGTGGAAAAAGAAAAGATAAAACACGCTTTAAAGGCACATCTTATAATGTCAGCTACATGCTGCTTTTGATCTCAGTAATCATCATCAAAAATATACCACATTTAAAATGAGTAGTGCTTAATAGTGCAAAAATTACCTTTGTTGGCTTACTTCAAATCACAGTTACCCAGACAGCTGCAGATGAAATAGGTATATTATGCCCAGCAAATTATTTTATAAAATTATTGTTGTCTTGGTACAGTTTGCAAGATTCTGTGTCATAGCAATTTCTATTAAATATCATGCTATCATAAGAAAAATTATTGGATTACACCTTTACAAAGGTAAATGTGTCTTTCCGTAGACTAGAGCCAATAGGTTAAAACAGATCCGAAGAAAGTTGTGTGAATGGTTAGTGAAGATAAACTAGCAGGAAAATAATTTGTTTCATATATCAGATTGTTTCCCATGCTGTGGCCTGTGAAAAACTATTCTTTGCTTACTAAGATTCTCTCTACATGTACCCTCTTGATTCTACTCTAAAAGAAAACACATGGTTCTTATACTGAACTACATATTCAAATATTTTTTGTTAAACAAAGGACACAAACATTTCCCTAATTCTGCAAAGCCTAGTGTTTTCCTGTTGAAACATTCCCTAAGTCATTTCCATCTCACTAACTTGTCTTTCCATATCCAGTTTGCATTGCAGTGTGGAAGAATCATCACATGCGGACAGTTACCAACTATTTCATAGTGAATCTTTCTCTGGCTGACATTCTGGTCACAATTACTTGTCTTCCAGCAACTTTAGTAGTGGACATCACAGAAACATGGTTCTTTGGGCAGCCCCTCTGCAAAGTGATTCCCTACTTACAGGTATTATTTTACTGTGTTTGTGTACACATTACCCATGTAACAAAAAAGGGAAAGAACAATAGCATGTTCCTAATACATATAACCCGATGGAAGTCTATCCCTGCTACTGAAGTAGATATCTCAGGGTACATGCTCAGGAGTAAAGGGCTTTTCCACTTGTGAATATGTTTATGCTTAATAAATATTGGTCTTGGTCCATCTGATTGTTAGACTTGGGCAATACACTTTCTGGAACATCTCTCTGATGCTCTTCAATTTCTGTGATCTTTTTTAATAATTCAGAAGGGATATAAAGCAATAAAAATGCCTGTAAATAAAATTACACTAATTTATACTCTCTGTTTGTGTGGACCTAAATAGCTACACAAGTGTCCAGGGCAAAGAATCCAGCCTTCTGAAGGGAGTCTAGGGTTTTATATGTTTTTAGTGTCTTCCTTTGCATTCTTCAGAAATAGTCAAAGCATCTAGGTTCAATGGGAGCTGATCAGATTGTCTGCTTTAAGCAGTAATTCCCACCAATCATTTACCAGTGGAATAATAGTTATGAGATCATTTGCATCAAAATGATTGACAAATACCTTTTCTATGAATAGCTGGTTAGATGAAGTGACTGAACATACTAGAATAACAAGTGTTTGGCCTTTCAGTCATTATAAATCAAAATAATTAATCAGAACTCTGAATGTATGCAGTTGATCAGCTCTGTGCCTCCAGCACAATTTATATTTTCAGCAGATACCTGTACGGCTGAAGAGCCACATTGTCAAGGGCAACAGTTCTCCAGCAGGTATGTCTGCTACTCCATGCAATCAAAATCACAAGAGTTTTTTTGAAAGCCTTCATTCTAGTGGAAGAAAATCTGAAGAGAAAGTGAAATTTTCATCTATTGTACGTAGTGAAAGAGTAAAACCAAAGTGATAGGTCATTCCCTATATTTTATAGAAGGTAAAATTACATATTCTGCCTTAAAATGATTGTTGGTTTGGATTTTTGGGGTGGGTTTTTTGGTGTTGTTTGTTTGGTTGGTTTTGGTTTTGCTGTTTGGTTTTTTTTTTAGCATGAGGAGCTGAATCTCCATTGTTCCTGTGAAAACTGAAAAGGCAAAATGATCATACTGATATCCAAATATAGCACAGAATACAAACAAACAAAATTGTTCTACAAAAAAAAGATCTAATTAGTTGTCTAATGTTTTAAAACTAGACTTCAGGTAAAGTTTTGCAAATTCTAAATTACGTGAAATTTGCTCTTTCAGCACCTGACCCTGCTTCCCCTAATCAGTTTGGGTGGCACCCTAATCTGTGAAATGTCCTGTTGATTCTAGTGGGACTACAGCAGATGAGGATATCTGTATTAATTCTGGAAGAGGTGATTTTAAAATTAGTCTTTTCCTGGGAATAATTTCTATTTAATAATTGCAGATAAAGAACAAACTATGTTGAAAATGGAAATAATTTTCAAAACTTTGAGAAAATTTCAATAAATAATTTTTAAAGCTCTGAAAAAAAATTACATTTACATTTACATCCTGTTTCCTTTTCTTTAGACAGTTTCAGTCTCTGTGTCTGTACTAACACTCAGCTGCATTGCTTTGGATCGATGGTATGCAATTTGTCACCCTTTGATGTTTAAAAGCACAGCCAAGCGAGCAAGGAACAGCATTATAATTATCTGGATTGTGTCCTGCATCATAATGATTCCTCAGGCTATTGTTATGGAGTGCAGCAGTGTGTTCCCAGGATTAGCCAATAAAACCACCTTGTTCACAGTGTGTGATGAGCACTGGGGAGGTGAGTGTGTCATTGACCATAAAGATGGAATTTGTACTGCTGTTAAGTAATAAAAATATCAGGACATATTAATATGCAGTCAGGTTGTATAAACATATCACAAAGTGTTCTTAATTCTAAAAGCTTTCCTAGAACTACCGTTTTTCAAATACTGTGAAATCCTATTTTCTTTTGTATTACTAAGACTTAAAGTACATTTCAAACCAAGTTTAAATGAATGAGGCTGACTTGTGTCTTGACCGTGTTAATGTTTCCCAGAGGATAGAAATGTTCCCACCCTTAAATGCTTATGCTTATATAATTCTGTGATCGATGGGCATTGCAGGTTTACAAAGACTTCAGTATTTAGCCTTAAGAAATAGCTACATAGGAATAGAATTTCTGTTTACCTGATATATTGCTTTTGCTAATTGCTGATATTTGACTAGTCTTTATAAATAACTCCTGGGACTTCGATGCAAATTGCATGTCATTACAGAATTTACAGAGATGTCATCGAAATGGGGTAGTGAGTTAATCTACAATTTGAAATTTGTCTTAGACAAGATCATTTAAATAACTTTGTTAATGTCATCAGTTAGAAATGGTCCTATCCAAGAAGTGTAATTCTTTCTTTCCAGATTAACTTTGACTTGTTCTGTCTTTGAATTCAGCTGTAGGAAGCCATAAGGTTTGCCAGAGAGCAACTACTTCTATTTTGTCTCCATTCGCAGCGAGTGGTGTTAGCCACCCACCCAAATGGTTCAGACTCCACTCTGGTGGGCCTTGGCATAACTCCAGTGCTAACAGAGCATATGAGTTACATGCTGTGACTCTGACACAGGATATAATGACCATCATCAGTAATACCATTATTCACACACAGGAAAGCCAAGTTTGCCAAAACATATAACTGAAAGGTGCCTCTTTAATAGCCTCTAGTCAGACTAAGACACAATCAGATTCTCCCCCAGAGCTGTCTGTGTAGAAGATTCCAGACCTGTGAACAATTAACATAGAATACAACTGGTTCACCTGTACTTAATTATCATGATAAATTAGCTTAAGCAACTTGAACTGCTGAGGGCTCTTCCATGTGCTCTTTTGGAAGTTTCTCCCCTGTTAACAGCCTCCACAGGGGCACGAGGGATTAATGAGAAGACATTGGCTATCATATTCCCTGTTCTTTATCTCCTTCATCCCAGTTGGTCCTGTGGGACAAGGCAAGTGGGCAGAGATGGCCATTAGCACGCTGGCACTTGTTGAAGACGACGATGTGCAGAACGTTTGTAGGTTAGAGGAAGCCTATGTTAAGCTCAGTGTTGTTTCACAGGAGAGGACACATCTGCTCTTTACTTCTAGTGTTCTTTCTTCATCTGTGAACAATTTTGTATTCCAGGCTGCTGCTGGACGCTGCAGTATTTATGTGACTATTTTGTTTCACAGCCTTCGGTCCAAGTACAATTTGTGTCCACTCATTTTGGCTGCAGAACTAAATATCTCTGCCTTCACAACTTCAAGATTAGATCTGCGACAAAGACTTTTAATCAACCTAGGAAATGAAAATGATGTGGTTAATTAATTAGGCAGTCAGAAGAGCGTTTCATCAGGGAATGCCATATCAGAATTTCCTGAGCTGCATTGGCCACTTTTTGATTCTCAACGGGGAAGTGTTGCTTTCAAACTACAGAGTCCGTAGTAGCCCTAGAACTACTTTAAAGGGTGCCTCTTGTTCAGTGCTTCACTGAAGCAGTTGCAGCCCAGAGATAAGCCTGAGCTGGAGCACCCATTACACAAGAGAAAACCAAAAACATCCCATGTGTTTGTGAGACTCTCCTCATATGGAGTGATTTTTTCCAAAATGATATCTGTTAATCTTCATGTTATGCTGTGAGCCTTCACTTAGTTGTTTGGAGAGGTAGAAGGGGGTATAACAAAGGCAGATACTTGTGCGTAGAGTTACATTCTCTTTCTATGTGGCTTCAGAAATGAAGTGTAAACACTTCAAAATTATTTTGGTTTTGTTTAAAATTTATGTTGAGCATGAAGTGAAAATAATTTTTCATTACAAATACGTTGAAGTTTTCTGAAATGGGAAGCTTTTTATTCCACTGAAAGATAAGAATCCTATTTTTATCCTGCTGCCTTTTTAATGAGTTATTCTTCTAATGATAATGCACCATCATTGCTAGTTATTCTGCTGGTGCATTTCAGCTATGCATAAAAAACAGTCCTCTCCACTTTCTAATAATAGCTTATCATAGTAACTTGAGAGAAGAACCTTTCTATGCATTAAGTTACAAGTGGGTTGCTCAAGTTGTGCAATTACTTAGTAAATGTAGAGTTAACCATATGGGGATAAAATATAATGGATAAATACCTTAATATCCCTTTCAGACTATGGAGAGTCATTAGCTACAAATAATTTCCATTCAAATAAAAATGTCTAAGGACACTGAGTTAGGCCAGAAAATAGAAGATGCAGTTTTTCTACTGAAAACCAGGGTTTGAAATCACAAAGGCTCCCAAACAGGAGAACAGAAGAACATGGATAACAAGGCAACACTTTGAAAATACTGGTGAGCCTTTAGGCCAGAACATGGAATAACAAGCTAATAATTTCAAAGAAAATAGTTGCATTTTGTTGGGTTTTGTTTTGCCTTTTTTGACTATGGGAATATTGAGGGTCAAAGAAAGCAAACTAGAAGGAGCCTGGAGGAGAAAGGAATTCATGTTCCTACAAATAAATTAATTTGCAAAGAGAAAGTGGAGATGTGGATACTGCATGCATTCAAGACATCCTCAGCAGATCCTATAGGAGAGTCATTTTAGAGGAAAGGAATTGTATTTGGGTGTTTATTGCTTTATTTAGAACTGCATATAATTTATGCTGTCTAAAATTAGGGTACACCTGATGAAAACTTTGCAGAATATCATGTACACCGCATGTCCCAGGGTTGTTAAACTGTGAAATGTCATGGTTGGGACTGCAAAAAAAGGGGCACTTAATGACATTTTCCAAACTGTTTTGGGAGTCTGTTCTAATTCTGGGAACTCAGGGCTGCTGAAGCATGAGGTGCTAGGGAGGACTAGCTGGAAGCCATGTCCAGGAAAATGTCGGAGATGCCAAAGCAGGAGACAGGACTGTACCCTACCCAGACCTCGGTCCAGCTGCTGAAATCCATACAAACCTGATGAGTGTCTGGAAGGAAGGTGTGATCAGCACTGTGACACTTAGACTCCTTAACAGTGAACAAATAGTGGCCACCCTGACTAGCAAGACTTCAAGCATGCTGTTGGAGAGCTGCCAGTGACTGCAAATGGAGCAATAGTTCAGCCTAAAACAGGGCTCAATTTCTTTTTAATTGCTTCTAGCATTCCTGAATATAAAATCCATTGCCAATTCTAGGCTGAGGGTTTTTCATTTTGAGTACTGTCTAATAACAATATTTTATTTGGGAATGCAGAAGGATTCATCATGTGACCTATGCAGGCTCACTTAAGGAGACAGTGTTGGCCACAGTTCTGTAATAGTCTGTAATTGCTATGTGCTGAATTTGATGATAAAGTGCCAAAATAAAAGAAACATATTAAAATGAGTTCACCATGTGTCCAAGTCAGCTAAATACATTCTCTTAGAGCTGTTCACAAAAAGAGTGTTAGCCAAAGTGTATTAGCCAACCCCTTTGCAAATGATAAAAAAGATTATGGAGATAATCCTTTCCCAAAACTACATGGTTGAATGGAAAGAAAGTGAAGACTTTCTGTCCTGTTTCCTCTTAAACTATTCATAAAATAGTACAGAAACATATTGTCTTAATTCTGGAAAACAAATAGCTGGGAATTGCACTATTTCATGAAGGCTTATACATCCTGTTTATTGAAGTGTTCAGATTTTAAGGAAAAAACTTCTTGTGGGACATTTTAATGCAGAAAGAAATCAGAATATTGTTAATGCTATAATTATGCTGGGTGTTATAGTGAATTGATAACAAGCATAATTTAATAGGTTTGAAAAAGTGATTTTAGTATTAGCTAACTGTAAGTACTCTGACACAGGAACATAGTTTTGAAAGGACTGTTTTTGTGGTCAAATTTTCTCTACTGTGGGCACCTACTTCATAACATCCCTATTTACTAAGCTTTATTCTAAAAGTATATTCTTTTGCCTGCATTGCTTCTTCATATTGTTAACTCCAACACTTCATAAGTGTCTTCCTGAGACTAGGGAACCTGGGAACTCTTCACTGGTGATCAACCGACTTGATAGTCTTGTTGTTTTCCCTGTTCTTATGGAAGCTGTCAAGAGTACCAGTTTCATTATGCGCCTATGGCTTAAGGGAATATATCATTTGCTAGACATATCAAAACCTTTTGAGTCTGGGTTATTTTCAGTTTGTATACATATGTATATATATACATGCATGGATATATGTGTTTACACAAATACAGTAACATTCTGGCAAAAATCCAGAAGCTGTAGCTTCAGTCTTCTACCTCCTTGCTTCATTGAACAACAGTCTGGGACTGGAACACAGTGCCGAGAAGGAAGCTTTAGAAAAGTTTAAAATTTGTTTAATAACCCCTGCAGCAGACAAAGATTTGTTTTAGCATACCGATCCTTTATCAGGTGCAGTAATCATACTGTATGACTGGAGCTGAGTAAGAAAGCCAGTCTCACCCCAGTCCGATCCCTGTGACAACCTGTTTGCTTTTTGTCCCCTTCTCTCATTTCAGTTAAATAGTGGTCAGTGATGTGAGAATCATTAATTTCATCTTAAAGAGTCTGTTACTCCAGCTAAGATCAATCTCCCTCTCTCTCAAAGCCCCTTAAGTGACCGTGGAAAGCAAAGACACTTTTCTCCTCTTCTGCTTGGCAGTAAGAGGTTCAGCATCCCAGGCAGCTGATATATCACCAGGACCATAGGCTGATTGATGTTCTCATTCAGGAGCCTGGAACTCACTCACTTGATAAATGAACAGTATCCCAAACCAGCCCTTCCTCCTTCTTGCTGCTGTGATTGTCAAACAGCTTTAAAGCTTTTCTTTGGCTCAAGAAGCTAAACAGAGTCATGCTTCTTAGGGAAAGGTTCTACAAAGGGTTTTGCCTTGGGTGGAGGAGGGACAGGTTTCCTTTGATGTTTAGCAGCTGGCACTTTCCAGGTGGCTAAACTTCAAAGGCAAGCGTCAGGATCTTTCTCCAACCTGGTCCATCAGTTCTTTGTAGATAGCTAGGCTCATTTAATGTTTCACTTTACTTGGAATGTTAAATTGGAAGCCATAAACTCCAGATGGCCTTTTAAATATGTACTGTCCTTCTACCTGAAAGGGGCCTGGCTGCCTGCAGAGCATTGATGAGGCAGGTGGCACCTCCTTCTGTGCAGAAAGAATGTACTCAGCTCTGACCTCCCGTGATCCCAGTAAGTCACGTTACTCCGGTTTCTCCTTAATCTCTCCACCTGTGAATCATGCGTGTCAGTATTTCCCTGTCTGACAGGACTGCTGTGAGGCCGCATTTTCTGGAGTGCAAAAAAAAAGTTTGACAACAGCAGTCAATATACAAACCCAGGTTATCACTGATTATAAAAAAAACTGCCCCAAATGGTCTGCCTGGGACATTGACAAGAGCTGGTAGCTGCAGCTGCTAGTTAAGAGTTGGTAAGCTGCAGGATCTTAGACCAAGTAGGGAGCCAAATGCTGCTCATCTGAATTTTTTGAACCCAGATCCATCAAAGCTTTCAAATGTCAATGGCAACGCCTCTGTTTCCTTTGCTAGCAATGAACATGGGCTGGATTTTGCTGTGGCACATTTTGATTTCCCCCATACTGAAGTTTTGCTGACTGGTGCCAGCTGGCACTTTCAGGCCCAACACTGAGTGTGATATCATTTGAGTCTGGGTTTGAGGGTCAGCCTGGGGTTAACATGGTGGTGTACCCCTCTCCACTGTGACAGTACAAAGACCATGTATTTGTATCTCCTTGTGTAATCAAACTCACAGGGGTCCTCCTGATATGCAAAGGGACCTCTTGTTTGATGGGGTCCAAAATCTTAGTCACTTTAAGAGTCAGAAATTAAGTTTGACTCACCAATGTTTTGATGTCCTGCAACTCTTCCTTTTCTTTCTAATTTTTTACTAAAACAACGCTTGAATATAGAATCTCAGTTGCAGATCTTATGATCCCAAAACATTCAGAAATTCTGGAAATAACCATAAACATTCTTTCTTTAGCCAAAATGCAATGCTTAGGGTTACCATGCAGTCTAACAGCTCATAGAGTGCACAGTTTTTCTTCTACTCCTTATTGTCCCTATAATGTTTATTTCTTTCTGAGGCCATCCATAAATGTTATATTGTAATTAATACCGAAATTTGGTAATACCAAACTACATTTGATGTTACGAAAGTGAAGGCAAGTTTTCCAGGCATCCACTGCACATTCTACAATAATTTGACAATGAAGATTATGATGCAACATTCTTAAAACACGATATAGTCACAACGCCTGCAAGATGTTTGTCTCTAACCAAATAACATTCATAAGTTGTCCTTTGAAAAAAGATACACAGGAAACTAGAACACAGTGGTAGCAAACTTTTTAAAGTTGTATCAAAAATAATCCTGGAAATTTCCTGTTTAGAGCATGTAGCTGAATTATTTCTGTCTTTTAAATGTAATCATAACAACAGATCACTGTTTCTTAATCACATTTATTCTGCCACCAAAAAGTGATTTAAGAAATGCCTGTCTCTCCTCCCATCAGCATCCTGTGTGCTGCAGAGTACACTCTCTGCTTATAGGTGAGAGACACTGTGATTTACTCAGGGATACATAGTAACCTTTGCAGAATTAAAAGTAGAGACAGTTACACAACCTGTTAAATACGTCAAAGATGAGGTAGGTTGGATAATTAGTTAGCTATTGTTAGATAATGAAATTTTTTATTTTTCACTGCTTTAATAAACAACAAAACTTCTGAAGACTTCATGCCTAAAGTAAAAATGGAATATGAAAGCAGTAATGAGACACAAGATGCATGAGATAAAAGCATCTTTATAAGAGAAACAGAATGTATATAGAAGTGATTAAAAAATCAATCCTGACCATAGTCTTATTGGATATATCTTCCATTATAACCTGTTCTGATTGAAAAACACATGCATATTTATATGAATAATTTGGCTTAAAGCGATTTTGAAATGTATGTATATTTAAATGCACTTTTCTTATTTTAATTCTCTTTGCAGCTGAGGTTTACCCCAAAATGTATCACACATGCTTTTTTCTGGTGACATACATGGCACCACTGTGTCTTATGGTGTTGGCCTATTTGCAAATCTTTCGAAAGCTGTGGTGTCGCCAGGTAAGTCACTTAACACTAGCTCTATTTGCTTGCTGTTGTGACTATGTGCAGATTCCTATGTACAACCCTCTTCTTACATGCTCTATATTGTCACTTAGGATTTGGATTTTTACATCGCTCACTGTTTTCAGGTTCAGTGACACTGCTGGCTTACAGCGACCTTGGATAGGCACTGAGATGCATTAAAAAATTAAGGCAATCAGGCTGAATGTAAACCCCTTCATAGCCCATGTCTATGAATGGCTTAGAGGGAGGAAAGAGAGAAAAAGGCAACAGAAAGATTGATTATAGGCAGAAGAAAGGTCTCTCCCATTGTATCTAAAATGCTTACCAGAATACCTTAGGTGACCTTATTTATACCACTAAAATCTCCTGCAGCAGACTAAAGTTAAGACTAATCTTCTCATTTTGTTAGTAGTCTGTAGTAGTATTTTTATTTTTTATTAAGTTTCAGGTTCATGTCAGGTCCAATCTGAACAAAAGTTAGACTAGAAAGTCCAAGTATCAGAACTGTGAGACTAGAATTGCCTGATGTGAAACTAGTTGTTACCAGTAACATTTGATGTGAATTACTGACAAATAATTGGCATGATTTCTGATGTGAACATCCATTATTTCAAGCTTCAAATTAAAAAATACAGGGGAAAAAAAACCAAATACAGGACAACAACAAAAACCTCAGAGCAACGAAGCACACTAAAAATATCTGAATTAAAGTGTCAAAAAAGATGTGTTTTTTTCCAGGGACATCTTTCCCCCTCCAACAATTCGAAATGATGACGGGTTGAGAATAATTTTCTGGGTGTGAAATGTAATCTGTCGTCCATCAGCCTATGGTTCTCTCTGATGTCTTCTGCTTTGTCCGGGATTTATCTATATCTGTAGTCCTCCACCACACCCTGCCCTTTCATTCCATAAAGAAAAATAAACTCATCCTGTTGAAGACATGATGAAGATAATACCCTCCTGTCCTCTCAAATGGCTTTAACAATGGCTGACATTTCCATCAAGATATAGGCATGAATCATTTTTCTCTCACCATTGTGTCTGATACTATCTAAATATGAAGCTGTCCTGGCCAGGACATCATATCTGCCACATCAGGAACATCTGTCTTGCAGTTCGAACTGATCCATCAGAGAAAACAAAAGTAGGCTGTAGATTTCTAAATATACATCTGTTAAAAGTAGAAATCAATTCTTATACTGACAAAACATATTACTTGCAAATAGCTAAAGTGCAGGAAAAAACAAATCTGCTTTACATCATAATAGCAGTTATTCTCTCTTCTAATCAGCTTAGGTTAAACCATAGTTACTCTTTATCTTGCTGTTCATCTTTACATTCTTATTTTTGCTTTTAATTTCTTATATATGTAAAGTTCAATAACAAGATAGTTTGAAGGTAAAGTTTAACCTTTACACTTTGAGGGAACTCTTCACCAGAACAAAGGCGTTGCTTCGTTAGTTTTGAAACTGAGTCTAACATAGCTCTGCTCTGCATTGCTGCAGTTACCTGTCCTGTAGCTCCCAGTGACCTTATCTCCATATTCATTTTTAACCTTCTATTCTGCACTTGCTTTACAATCTATCCTCCTAAGCTGTCCATTAATTAAGTTAATATAAAGCAATTGCTCGTAATCTGCATGTAGCTTGAAAATGCTGGTTCAGATTCAGAGCAGAAGTTGAATGACTGGAAAACCAAGATGTTGGTGTTTTTTGTCGTCCCCTCCAATTGTATTAGCTGGCCTATTTCTTCACAGTATTTCTTCTCCCTGTGCGTCTTGCGTGCTGACAAGGTTAGGATGATCCTTTTTTTTTTTTTTCCAGTGGCAAAGAGACAAATACTGCTACAGGCTTAGAGCTATCACTGATGTGAAATTACAGATGTCTCTGTTCGTAGCCTAGATGCTAGCACCATGTGTAAGAGGCTGCACTAAGTGAAATTAAAACCACTACACATCTATTATCAACTGTGACTTGGCACCAGACATCAGGCATTTTTCTGAGTGCAACAGGTGTGCCATAATCTGTCATGTAGAGCAAATGAATGCAGTGCTCTAAATGTATTACTTGATAATAGTTTCAATTAAGAAATCATGCTGTTTACCACATCTTCAGTGAAATATAATGAACGTATTGCAAGTTATAATAAGCCAGCCAGATGTACGAGATAGAAAAAACAGCAAACAGTAGACACTTCCTATCTCTTACATTTTTTTTAAAGCTTCTTCTTTACAATGGTATTGTGTGTGTAAATTTTCAGATGGCTAAAGGTAAGACAGATTTACAAGCTGTCCTTACCGTACTTTGTGTAATAGCTCTTAAAAGTACTGATTGTGTCTTCCAAGCAGATCTTCTGACTATGTTTTACAATCTTTGAATTAATGATTCATCTTTGTAAAGACAAGAACAATCACGTCACAAATACCAGGGATTTTGAGTAATTTATTTTAATTATTAACAAGGAAGTAGTGACTTAGAAGGCTATGTTCTCTTGTGGATTTTAAGTAGTTTAAAAGTAACTTCTGAAAAAATAAATAGGACACAATGTAGTCATCATGAAAGAGTTGATACATAATTCGTATTATCAAGTTCCACACTGTGTGCTTCAATTTATTGATGTCCAAGTGCTTTGACACTAAAGCCTACTCATATTAGTAATTAGAAACCCTACCCATTTTCATTTTGCCAGCTGAAATATACCCTTCCAATCTTTGCAAGTTGCTACTGCATTTGGAGAGATTTTCTCTGTTTCTAAACCTCTTGGTCATAATTTGAGGGGATAGAGGAAAGGTGCATAAGAAAATAACAGCAACTTTCAATACCTGTTTGGACACAGCTAGTGGGCTTTTAGTGAATCATTGGAATTACACAGTTTCTCCACAATTATCTCTATGACTGATAATCATAGAATCATAAAATCATTTAGGTTGGAAAAGAGCTTTAGGATCCAACCATGAACCTATGTCATGGTTTAACCCCAGTCAGCAATGAAGCACCACACAGCCGCTCACTCAGCTCCCCCCATGGGATGGGGGAGAGAATCAGAGGGAAAAGGTAAGAAATCTTGTGGGTTGAAATAAGAACAGTTTAATAATTGAAAGAAAATAATGACACTATTAGTGTTAATGATAATAATATGCAATTAAAACAAAACCAACCAATCAAACAAACAGAAAGAGAGACACACAAAATGCAGGGGGAAAAAATAATTGATAAAACTGCTCACCAGATGCTGACTGATGCCCAGCCAGTCTCCAGGCAGCCCCCATCTACCCCCAACCAACTTATATACTTAGCACGATGCCTTATGACCTGAAATATCCCTTTGGTCAGTTTGGGTCAGCTGTCACAGCTTCTTGTAGAGAAGAAGCTGGGAGAACAGAGGCAATATGGGAAACTGAAAAGTCTCTGGCTTAATGTAAGCATTGCTTAGCAACAACTAAAACATCCCTGTGCTGACAACACTGTTTTCAGCACAAATCCAAAACATAGCCTCACACTAGATACTATGAAGAAAATTAACTCTATTCCATCCAAAATCAGCACAGTCTAAGATTGCCAAGTCCATCACTAAACAATGTCCTTATGTGCCACATCTTCATATCTTTTAAATGCCTGCAGGGATGGTGACTCAATCACTTCCCTGGGCAGCCTTTTCCAATGCTTGATAACCATTTCAGCGCACAAATTTTTCCTAATATCCAATCTAAAGTTTCCCTGGCACAACTTGAAGCCATTTATCCTTGCCCTATTGCTTGTATTACATGTCCATGTGTTTACATAAATGCATATTTGTAAATATTTCTGTATACACACACACACAGATGCACACACACTTCTGACTCATTATGTGCCTTAGATGGTACTGGTTCAGCTATGTGTCTGTTCATTAACTTCTTTAATGAAGTTCTTGCTGTATTACTGTCTATCAGCGTAACAGTAGCAAAGCCCAGGTGTGTGCCAAGTAAAGCCTGAGGAAAAGAAGGCTCTTTAGAAAGGTTCTCAATACAAACTCCTGAAGATTTAGAAATCAATATATAGTACAGTGAGACTGTACATTGTATACAGTCCTACCTTTGGTCACCTCTTGTTATTAAAGACTGCTTAAGCACCAGAAAAGACCCCTCTACCTGTACACAAAGGTACAAACTATGTACACAGTAATTTACTTCTGTAGAAATAGCCATTCACAATACTGAACCAAGATAATGTTTCTCTTCATCTACATTGCATCTAGCTACCATGAAAGCTGCTCACTGATTTCTTCAAATCAATCTTTGGCATAATCCAGAGGGAGATATTTGGCTGAATTTCTCTGCTTCCACCTCCAGTTCTTGCTACAGTATAGTAACTCAGTATGACTGAACTGGAAGGAAAAGCTTCTGCTTCAAAGTTAGAAGAACAGAATATCAAAGCACCCCTGATAAGCCAGAATCAGAATCTTAGGCAGCATATTATCTCAGTAGCGCACAGCAGAGACACATTGCAGTACTATGCCCCACAGCTGAGTAGGATAAATCCCTCACAATAGGACAGACACGTACAGGTATGAAACTAATACTGCTGATTTCAGCTGAATGAGTGGCAAACCCCAGCAGAAGTTAGTGCAAGGTTTGGGTAGGTTTTTTTTTTTCTTTATCTCCATAAAGGCATCAGTAAAAAATAAAAGTTACGAGGTATCCTTTGTTCTGCTTCACTGATTTCATCTTCATTACAACCCAGGTTTGCCAAAATGCTGCAATAGTTGTAAACCATGGTTGATGGTGCACATAAATGCTAAATTAAGGACTTTTCTGAGTAACGAAGCTATTCTCCAAAAAACCAACCAAAAGGAAAAACCTCCACCCCACAGAAAACAGCATAATAGCTCTTCTAGAACAATCCTGAATATGCACGCTTTTATTTTTGAACAAGTATTCCCTTTTAACTCAGTTTTTTCCTGAAATAAATATCCAAAATTTCATTAGTTTCTGGTCAGTTTGTGTGGATAAGCCCTGATTTTTAAAATGTTACAATAAACGATTTGGATTTTGCAGATACTTTTAAATATTAATAATTATGCACTTGTGAGACTAGTCACCCTGCAGACAATTGCGTTATGCATGAATAAAACTATATTTCTACCCAAAAGATTTTCACAGTATGTAAAACTGAAAACGTAATAAATGTCATTGTAATAGAGTTCTCCAAGAAAGTCCTTGCCGTCTGTAGTCCTTCACTTTTGGCTGCGGGCAGGAAATAATTTTGAAGAACTGAAGCAAAATTGCTTTATTTGGCTTGGCTTATGTGAGGGCACAGAAAACAAAAATGGAGAATTTTATTTTAATGGCATGGTGCTACCCCAACTTGTTTCAAGGTATCTTTGGCTAACCTAATTCTTCCTATGTTTGGCACTCTTCCATGATTGCCCTCTATTTATCACTGTATATACATTCAGTTTTGAAGAGCTTTTCAGGGAGATCCACACTTCAGCTGAAATTTCTTCAGCTGTTTCATTGTCATCTAGTTTGCATATTTGGAAGTTTTGTGGCACTTAAAACTCTGTAGGCTTTAAATCCTTGTTTTCTAATGCTGAAAAGCTATTTATTGTCTTAAATTAGCAGCATATTTATGGGATAAACTGCCGTACAAGAAAACATTTAATGTAGGACTTTATATCAATATAATTGCAGAATTAGGATTGGTAAGTGTGGTAGTCTGAAGAGATAAGCAAGGCAAGGTATTTGGGAATTAAAGGCAATTTTAATACATCAGTTGATATATTTGGATAAAACATGAATTTTTATGCAGACCTTCAGGTGTGATTCTGTTTTGTTTCTTCCAGCTACATCAATTAATTTAATAAAAAAGAGTACTTCTCCCTGAAGTTTACATTGTGTATGTCAATGTATCTATTTTTCTTATTACAGCTACTCACAGTGCTAGTTTTTCAGAGCACCCTTTACTTTGTCTTATTTAGATCCCAGGAACTTCTTCTGTTGTTCAGAAAAAATGGAAGCCTCTCCAGTCCTCAGCACAGCCCCGGGGGCTGGGACAATCAACAAAGTCAAAGATTAGCGCTGTGGCAGCTGAAATAAAACAGATTCGTGCAAGGAGGAAAACAGCACGTATGCTGATGGTCGTCCTTCTGGTTTTTGCACTTTGCTATCTACCAATTAGCATCCTCAATGTCTTGAAAAGGTAAAGTTTATCCTAAAATATAAACACTTGGTAAAGCTTTCTGTCCAAAACCAACCTTCTGTTACTAAGTTCCTCTTATTCTGGCAGATATTTTTGAAAGAGAAACTTACTTTTTTCATTATAAAGAAATTGAAAATAATCATAAACTTGCAAGATTAAAAAATGTATCTAACCTATGGATAGTATTTAAACTAAAGGCCAGATTATGGAACCCTTATTAACAAGCTCTTCCTCATGAAAATCATCTAGCCTATCTCCTCATTAAAACCGGTCATTTACATGGGATTACAACTTGTTTGCTGTAAATGTGCCTGTGGAAGTGAATTTACCTAAAGCAGGAGCTGAAGGTTAGCAGACAAGTGTCCTGTTGAGTCTTGGCCCTAAGGACTGCGAAATGTTGGGTTCAAACCCAAGCCCCATGAAGTACAATTTTGAGACATTAGGCTATTGTTTTCTTTTGCCTATGAAGTTTTTTTTAACTTATTTACCTTTTTCTCTCTGCTTTATCTGAGATAATTGTTTACACTCTGGTTTTTGTACAGTGCAACAGACTAAGGCTTTGATATAATTATATCTCATGAGACCTCTGGAATAGAATGAGACTGATAAAGAATGACATATAGCAGAAGATTTGAATATCCTAAAAAGTAACCAGCCTTTTATTGGTGCTTGAGGAACATTTTATTTTTAATAAATAGTTTCAAGTTGGATATGAAGGTTTAAATGCATCCCACTTAATTCTGACACTTTCCTGAGGCCTAATGTAAGTGCTTTTCATCCCTTGGTAGGCAATGTGGAGAGAAAGAAGTATTTCCAGAAGGTAGTTCAGGCCACCTGTGATCTGAACCACAGAGGAACTACATTGGCTTCCTCAACTGCAATAGCAGAGTAGGACCATAGTTAGTTTTTCAACTGAAAGGCAATCGTTAGGTGTAAGGAATCTGGACAAAGCAGGTTTCTCTAGAGGACAGAAGCGGCTACTGTGGCCTCAGTTTTGGGGCCAGTTTAGTGCCTTTCCAATTCTATTCCACCTCTTTGTGGGAGAGTGGACCTAGACCTCAATGACATGAATAAGTCTAAAGCAACTTTTCCCATCTTTTCTTGACTTATGTGACACCAGCTGACTTGGGTTACTTAGCAGAAAAGTCACGCATCTGCACCACTGCAAAGTAAAGTACTGATCGTCTCTGTTGTGCTAAACCACCAAGACAGGAGGATGAGAGATAGGGAGAGGACTTTATTGAATAAAGTGAGCACTGTTGAACCAGCTTTTCTGTTTTTTGACTGCAAATAGGTCATCAGAGATAAAATTAGGCTAGAAGTTGCCAAATCCTTTTATATGATTTTTAATTTTGCCATCTATCGGTTTTGCTTTTCTCTTTCTGTAGGGTTTTTGGGATGTTTAATCATGCCGATGACAGAGAAACTGTATACGCCTGGTTCACGTTCTCACACTGGCTCGTATATGCAAACAGTGCAGCCAATCCTATTATTTATAACTTCCTCAGTGGTAAGTTACAGTTACCTACACTTCAAGTTTAATGTATAGTTTGAATGTAATGAACTGTATCAAGTAAGATTAATGGCTGTCTAACATCAGCCCAGTTCCTCCAGTGGGAGCTAGATCCTCTTCTTGGAACAAGTTGCCTGAAATATCCCATTACCTTCAGGCTATCTACCTGTAACTAAACTCAGCAGTGCCAGGGCCTGAGTCCAAGTGCTTGGATTTGACTGTCCATGCCATTAATTTGGTGGAGAAGACCCTGGTATGACTTTGGTTCTGGAACAATTATGATTCTGCTAAACACTCCCCAAATACTGTCTGGGAGGTAGCCCAGGCCAGGGGCTGTCCCCAGCTGGCATTTTATATGCAGGTATTGGGTTTTGGAAGATGGGAGTCTTTAATAGTGCTTTAATAGTACTTGCATGACCCGACTCTGCCAACTAGGTCAAAGAACCAGCCAGCATGGCATTTACTTACTAGTATAGATTTGTCTTTATATTTATCTTATTTGGCAGAATCAGGGCCTAAACTGGTGGTATTACAGCTAAATACAGGGAGGCAAAAGTCTGTTGATTCTCACTACACATTTCCTGACTGTAGTTTATTTGTGGTGTGCAATGTGAGGATGATATGAACAATTTACTCTGAGCCCCAAAGGCAGACTAATGGGCTGTCAAACACTTTCAATCTTCTTTTAAAATATATTCAAGATAAAATACAAGTCAACCATGCCCTATCATTTCATATGTCAAGTAATGATTCAGTCATTTAAGCCCATGATTTCTCAATTACTTGATTTCATTAAATATGTTATTAATCAGACTATCTACGACATGATTTCATAAATCATTTTAGTTTGTCCACCCTGTCTAGCCAAGAATAATTCTGTTTTCATGCCATACCTCACGTATCTTCTTACAAAGATTCTATTTTTTCTCTTCCTCCAAGATGTTGAAATTGTGATTTCCTGCTTCTTCTTTAGAAGAACATCTGAGTGTCTTGCATTAATTTTACCTTAGATAGCTGTTTTTTTCTAATCTATAAAGTTTGTTGAAACACACTTTATGGTACAATTTTTTCATGAGTCTTTGTTTCTCATTGACAGGGAAATTTAGAGAAGAATTCAAAGCAGCATTTTCTTGTTGCATCTTTGGCATTCGCAGTCACCACGATGAACGACTCACCAGAGGACATGCCAGTACAGAGAGTCGGAAATCCTTGACCACCCAGATCAGCAATTTTGATAACATTTCAAAACTTTCAGAACACGTTGTATTGACCAACATAAACACACTTCCAGCAAATGGTACTGCACTTATTACCCACCGGTAGTATACTTGTCCATATGTTTGTTGATGATGTGGACATAAAATTTAATTGTGCATACAAAAATATTTGAATCTGAGCAGAATGCAATGAGTGAAGGATGGTTACAATTAAGAACTGGCTGCAAGAAAACTAACTTACAAGAAATATTTTATAGAATATGCTACAACTTTGATTATATATTGATGAAACAAAATTTCATCTTATTTTTTTAAAAGTTGAGTCGCAATTGGGGAGAGGGTAAAGTAATCATATTTTATATAAATATTGTCTTTGGAACCCTATTTCCTTTAGACACCTAAGTGAATACAGAACAGTTTGAAAGTATGGAAATAATTTGATCATTTTCTGTGGAGTTGCAATGTGTTTATAAATAGCTATATTCTCCTCAGAGGTAATTCTCTGAAGTTGTAGTCTATTTTATAACAAATATTATAACAAAATTTGGTGTACAGTTTGAACTACCTGGATATTCTTGACTATTTCAAATTATCTGCTTACCATGCATTTTGGTGTGAGTTGGGATGATCAAAAAAGAAATTCACATTAATTTCTTTTCTCTCATTTTCTGTTCTTTTTCCTGTTGGGGGTGTGTGTGTGTGCGTGTGTGTGTGTGTGTTATTGTGCGTATTCAGGAACACCTGGGAAGCCACTCTTGATTTTTCTCCAATACAGGTTGATAAACAAATGAACACAGTGTGTAATGAAATGCAGATGTTGTTTAAGATTTCTCAGTTCTGGGTAAACACTGAAATGATTCTGCAGTTCTCTAGCTTTGTGAATAGATGGAAACTGGCATATAATTTATTATTTTATATTTTGCAGTATGTTATATGTTACAACCCAGCAGGACTTTGCAGGGGACTGCAAATACAGGATTCCTCCCTCCTCTCTGAGGGAGGTGCATGTTGGTTGTCTAGAAATTAGTCAAATGCCATAGGTTACAACTATATAAGCTCTATACTGGTAACAGAGAAGTTGGTATTTCCAAGGACAGCTAATCTTTTCCTAAAATATATATCTAAAAAGAGTTAAAAAATTATCTCTGAAAAAGTCTGTTCTTTTCACTTACTGTAAGAGGATTTTTTTTCTCCTGAATTCAGGCTGCTCTTCTCCAGTGGTGATGCCATTCCTATATGTAAGGCAGAAGCCATGAAATCTCAATGACAGTGTGGCTGTAGAGGATGTCTCTATATCTATTATTTGTCATCATTCTCTTTCCATGTCTGTCCTGTACTTATGGCAGGGGGGTTGGACTAAGTGATCTTTAAAGGTCTCCTTAATCCCAAACCATTCTATGATTTTGTGATTGTACAGAGGAAACTGTAGTGCTCTGTTTGTCACCATGGCACCTGGATAAGGAACAGTGCAATTTACAAAATAATGCACATTAAATAAGTAGTAGAATGCATTAGAAGTGTTTAAAAGTAAGAAAATCATGTCTTATGCATCAGAAATCCCCTTAGACTTCAGTCAAGAAGTCTTTACTTAAAATTTGCCATTGCAATTTGGAACATATTTTGGCAGACCCTTTTGTTAACAGATCATCACTTGCACGGTGCTCAGAGAGTGACAATCATAGGGTGACCCAGTCAGCTACACGATACAAACAGTAAAATCATCTTAAAATCCTTATTTTATCTCACAGGTATTCCAGCTACACTCAGCCCATTGAAATCAGTCGAACTGCATTTCCACATACCAGGGATGAACATGACTTCAAATTTAGATGAAGCTGTGAGGGTTTCTGCAGAAGACACTGGCAACAAAGAGAAAGTGGAGTGGGACAAATTTCTCCCTAGCATAACTAAACTTACCTCAATGGAGTTACAGCAAGGATGACTTTGGCCAATACGTGTAAGACCACCAGAAGATTTCACATGCTTTTAGCTGCGTTACAGACTACAACAACTGGACAAAAGGATTCTTTCAAAATGACTGCCTCTCCTATTTCTTCTCAGTCTTACAGAAACCTACTTACCTCAGTATGAGCTGAAGAACATGTCTTTGCAAGTCTTTTTAAGGATTGGATTGTATAATACTTTGTAAATACTGTAGATATTTATTTTTATATATTTTAGATGCTGTGGAATGTTCTAAAATTTACCATATAAAGAACTCTTAAGTATTTGAAATGTCTCAAACATAATTTATTTATATCCTCTTTCTATAAATGATTGACTTATTTACAAGTAATGCTTACTTATGCACTAGTGATATTTTGGAATTACTTTGCACTTCTTTTTCTGCTAATTCACTTGTAGTAAATTCTACATTCACTATGGAACTCTGACTTCAGATTGATTTGGGGAGATTTTGGGCTACTTTTCTAAGCACAAAGTGCTGCAAGTCACCTGTTTTCCTAAGATTACACTAATTAGCCAATTATTTTATTTTTTTCGTTAGACTCAACAGCCTAAAAAGTAACTACTTAAATAAAACTTGCATGATGGTCAAAGGTGCTATAAGCTCAAAATTCCTACTCAGGACAATAGGAATAACAAATGTCAGCACCCCTGAAGGACAGGACGTTTTAACATAGGTAGCTCATTTTAGTCCATAATGTCTGCACATGTTGCTCCAGGAGATGTCTGAGGATCTTTAAAATAGAAAACATTAGTTATCTTGCTAGCTTTCATGATTTCTCTCTCAGCTGCCATTTAATACTAATGATACAAACAATTATCAGATTTATATGCCAAGAAAACTTTGACTTTTCAACAATTAAAGTAAAATGTTTCTCTCTGGAAGTTAACAGAGGTGATATCTCACTTATTCATTTTCCATTTATGGGGTAAGCTCGCTGGTCTGGGGCTTCCTACCATGCATTGTATTTTTACTCCTTAAAGAAAGAAAATGGTGCACCAGTGGATGGTCAGTAAACTAGGGGAATGTGGCCTATTGGTGAGAAAGAGGTTAATCTATGAAGACCTCAGCTACACTCTCCTCATGGCACTATTCTTTCATTTCAGTTAAGATTTTTAAAGAGGAAAGATAAGATGGGCAGGATAACTTGTTTTTCTGTCCAAAGCATTTGACATAGAAAGCAGACATTCACACATGTTCAAATGTTCCTGAAAAGCCAATTATTCATAGACAAAGTGTTATTCGATTAACTTATGTAAATATTTTTTCTAGGTTTTACTTTGACTAAATGTCATGCGATGTAGCCTATGACAACACCTATAGTTTTATGAAGTGCTTAATCACTTTATGCTTTAACTTTTCCCAACAGCCGTTTTACTTGATATTGTTGCAATTACTCCTAGTTTGCACTGGTGTAAAGTGAGATAAAGAAATTTTCATTTGTTTGTACATTAAAGTTTTCTTTTTCTATTAAAAAATACAAAGGACAATATTTGTTTTTTATATTAAAAAAAGAATAAGGAGAAATACCTAAATGGAAAGAATGTTTAAATATCAAATAAAATCAGGAATTTCTGTATCCCTATGTGTAAGCTTAATTTTTTAATATAACTATTATGTCAGTGCTATTTCAAGAAATTGTTTTACTTTTTCTCTTCTAAGAAAAAAAAAAACCAAATAATTGTGGAAAGTACAGCAGGATTTGATTTCATAGCTGTTGCAATTCTTTTGCCATTAGAAGGCTATTTTTGCTCTTCAGCCACAGAAAATTAAGTAAGCTTAAACTGTGTGGAAGGAGATATTATTCTTCTATATAATTTGAAATGATTGGACAAACAGCTGCTGAATTAAAAAGTTACAGAAGTAGAAGAATGGAATTTAAAATGTTGGGTTTTGGGTTTTCGTTTGTTTTTGGTTTTGTTTTTTTTATAAGTAAATAAAAAGTCAAAAGATTCAAAACTAGTACAGCAATCTGGCTGCAAAATAATTATCAGTAATCATTTAAATGTGCCATAAAATGTTGCCTTACCCCACTGCTGAAAAATGTCAATTACGTCAAAATTTTGCAAACTTTTATTTCAAAAAATGTATATTTTAGCTCCTTCTTGAAGAAAGTACAAGAATGTAGAAAGTCAGTGTTTATCTAAGAAAACTTTGTCAGTATAAAGTGGAGTATGTATACTTTTCAAACACAAAAGGTCACACGTGACTGTGGAAGACCAGCAAAATTCTCATGCCTTGTCAGGTGTGTTGCCCAGATCCCTGAGAGATGAGCAGGGAGGGAATGGGTACAGTATTTCTAAGTTGGGTCAATCAAAACAGAACTAAAATAGTAATTTTAGGGATGCTTATGGAAAAAACTTAGTAGACTAAAACTTTAGTAGACTAAATCTGAAGGGGGGTTGAATAACACCTGCCAACACAAATCTTCTTCTTCTTCCTGCTACCTTAATGCCAATGGGATAAAATGTGTCAGTTGATCTGAGGTTAAAACACCACTAAAGGTCATTGGCAGTTTTTGGCTCCTTCAGGTCTCCTGTGACATGTTAGAGATGGAACTTCTGTCCTTAACTTTCTCTTTTGTAAGAGAAAAATCTCTCATTTGTTCTCTTTGTTATCTTATTTTCACTTTGATCCCCACAATTAAAGTATTCCAACATTCCTATGATTTTCTTTTACCTATAACTTTAACTGAACAATACGTTTTCTGTTTAGAATACAAATAAAATATGAGATATTAATTGAAAAATTATTCTGTTTTTTTTTCAGGCCAGATTTTTTTTGAGTAAATAGCATATCTCTGAGACACAAGTGATACCACCAGAGTTTATCTAAGATTTGAAAATCTAAGGGTAGGTAGAAAGTGTTAAATAGTTCTTGCCGGAGCATATGGTTATCAAGCTAAAGATCTGGTTATCTTGATGAAAAGATTTTTAATTCAAAAATTTCTGAGTTTTTGAAATAAATATTTTTGATGAAAATATTCATATGTGGGATTTTTTTGTTTGTTTGGGTTTGTGTTTTGTTGGGTTTTTTTTAGTTTTACAAACTTTTAAAAGTACGTCGACATTTTCTTCATTAGCTTATATGTGTTTTCAGGCACTGTTTCATCAGAAAAAGCTTCATAAGTGTTTAAAACTCTGTGGTCTACCTGTGCAAATTAGTGAAGGGTTTTTTACCACTTCTAGGACCTTTTACTCCATAATGATCCAAATATTTGGATACACTCAAACCGTGTGGCGCCGTTGACAGACTGGAGGGAAGGGATG